TTCTGTACCCACAAGAAACTGATTGGTGTTGATGTGGGTAATCTTCACAATGGGTTGTGCGTGTTCTCAGACCATTAGTCGTCACACAATCACATTGCATCAATTCCGTCCAATACACAAACATGGCATTATCGACTAGGTCATGGTTCCCATGGTCGCTCTCCCTCATACCAGATTTACATGTCTCTTATTCAAATAAAGATTGTTGTAATGCCTATAATAAGGACAAAATGGCATGGGTACATTTTTCCTGTGCGACAGGCCAGATCCAATTCATGTTTTGATATCATTCATTGTGACATTTGGGGGTACCGTACCGTGTCTTTGTCTAGTGCTCACTATTTCTTGACAATTGTTGATGATTGTTTACATACCAATTGGGTTTTATTACTCAAACATCAGTCTGAAGCATCTATTTACTTGTAACAATTTTGTGTTTGTGTTAATACTCAATTTCAAACATTAGTCCGTAGCATCCGTTCAAATAATGTGCTTGAGTTTTGTTTAGGCTCAATGAAGTCTTTCTATGCTTCGCATGGTATTGAGCATCAAAGGACTTGTGTTGACACACCCCAACAAAATGGCGTGGCTGAACGAAAGCAAAGACACCTGCTAAAAATGGCACGTGTTCTTCGATTTCATGTAGGAATTCGTATCATATTTTGGGGAGAATGCATATTGATTGTAGTTTATTTGATCAACCATTTGCCAACACTACTACTATACGAGAAATCTCCTTATGAGGTATTATTTGGAAACAACCACGTTATGAGCATTTGCATGTATTTGGATGCTTATGTTATGCTCGGATTCATGGGCATTGTCATGATAAATTCTCTCCACGGTCTATAAGGTGCGTGTTTGTCGGATATTCACATGGTTAGAAAGGATACCGAGTCTACAATTTGGATACACAACAAATATTTGCCTCAAAGGATGTTCAATTCTATGAAAATCAGTTCCCATCTATTCATGATGATAGAACAACTAATTCTGGGCCACTTAACATAGTGAGACCTCTTGAACATAACCCAATCATCTTGGATGAAACATGGCCCAATCAGACCCAAATTCAAGCCCATGACTGAAATCCATGCTCAACATGTAGAATAAACCCCATTATAGCCTAAACAAATAAAAGCATCCCAACCTGAACAACCTCAGGATCAAATTCCATATACACCTTCAAGGCCCAACACTAGGCCCATGAGAACCACCCATATTCCCAAACAATTTTAGAAATTTGTGTGTCCCACATTAACCGCCACTCATTTATCCACAGCCCACTCATTAACTCACCTTTTCACTTCACGCCCCACTGCCTTTACAACTTCATTATTACAAGTATGTAAACCCAAGTCATATGCGCAAGCGGTTTCAGATCCAAATTGGTGTGAAGCTGTGGATGTTGAATTAAAAGCACTTAACAAGAACCAAACTTGTATGTAATTAGGAATTATATCAAATGGACGTGAATAATGCATTCTTACATGGAGATTTACATGGAAAAGTATACTTGTATCCTCCTCCCGAACTACTTAAAGAAGGTGATTCCCATGTATGCAAATTACAACGATATCTTTACTAGCTCAAACAAGCTTCACGGTAGTGGTTTGAGAAACTTGTTGCTACTATCCAGAATCATGGATTCAGTGCATCTGGTGCAAATCATACATTGTTCACATCCTCCTCTCAAAACAATTTCATTCACGTATTTGTGTACGTTGATGATCTTGTGATCATAGGAATACATCCAAATCAAATACAAGCCCTTAAACTGTATCTTGGTTCATGTTTTCACATTAAGGATTTAGGGCCCCTCCACTATTTTGTAGGGATTGAAATCACACGATCCCAATAAGGTATACACCTCTGCCAAAGGAAGTATACACTTGATATTCTTCAAGATGCAAGTATGACAGGATGCAAGCCTAATACCTTTCCCTTGCTCCAACAACAACATCTTGCTCGTGCCTCTGGACTTTTGTTAACAGATGCAGCCCAATATAGAAGACTGGCTGGAAGGTTAGTATATTTGATAGCCGCATCCCAAACATAACATTTGTTGTTAATATCGTTACTTAGTTTATGAGTGCTCCATGGCAAGAACATTGGGATGCAGTCGTTCATGTTCTCACAAATTTGGAAAACACAATTTCTCAAGGGATTCTCTTGTTTGCAACAAATGACTTGGTTCTTAAGACCTATTATGACTCAGATTGGGCTGGTTGCCCAGTTAGTAGATATGTTCAACCATAAGTTATATTACAATGTTGAGAAACTCTCCTTTATCTTGGAAATCAAAGAAACAAACCATTGTTTCAAGGTCTTCTACAGAGGTAGAATATCGAGTTATGACAATTGCTACAAGTGAATTCCTATGGTTGAAGAGTTTATTTATTGGCATAGGACTACTACATATTCAGCCCATGCAACTACATTGTGACAACAAAACTGCAATATACATATCCACCAACTTAGTTTTTCATTAAAGAACCAAGCACATTGAAATTGATTGTCAATTTGTACGTCACCATATTCAGTCTCAAACAATTTCCACTTAATATATATCCTCTAAAACTCAGCCGGCAAATGTTTTCACCAAAGCCCTTGGATGAAATCACTTCCATTCCTTATTAACTAAGCTGGGCATGTCTCTCCTTAATCAAAATGATGTCCAACTTGAGGGGTATTATTCTTAGAGGTTGTTAAACTCATTCACGTGAAGATAGCTGAATCAGTTAAGAGGCTGTTACAAGTGTCAGTCCATTTGTCTACCTATTTCTGTTATTGTATCATATACATTTGTCTATAAATATTTAACAACAAAATCAATTGATCATTCTTTCAACTCTTGTTAACATGTGATTACCATTTATCAGCACTCTCCATAATGCCATAATGCCCACAGCACATCCCTACCGTGTATTCGGGAGATGTTCCCAATACAAGATAGGGATGTGATGTGGGGCATTATGGGGCACTGATGTTAACTCCTCTGCACCTATCACTGACGAATACAGAAGATCTTTTAATGAAGAAAACAAAGGATCCACGTAAGAGCCGCTTCCCCAGAACGGCCACAAAAAAAGTGTCGTGCAAATTGGACATGGAAAATTACTACTTCGCCACAGTGTCGTTTAATGACAAATCATCCCAAACAAACTTGCTAAAGGGAGTGAAAAATGTAAAAAGGCGTGGAATTAAGGTATTTTATTCCAAAAATATCTATTCTCATATGACATGTAGTTTATCCTAAAAAATGTTATAATATAGGGAAAGGATTTATATATTTTCTTAAAAATTGACAAGAGAATTATTAAAGTTGTTTTTAAAAAAAGTCCTTGGACCGATGCCCTTTCATATTTTTTCCATTTATTTTGTAAAAAAAAAAATTGATAAAAGAATTGTTTAGGTTAGTTTTTAAATAAAATCCTTGGACCGGCACCCCTTCATATTTTCCATACGCCTTTAAGAGATCAAGTAACCATTCTCAGAAGAAAATATAAATAGTTGTTGATGAAGGGTCCAATAAGTAAAACCCAGATTGTTTCTTTAGTAATAAGCAAAATAGAGAATATGTTTTAGTAAATATGTGAAACTGATAAACCCATAGTTGAACAATGGGGTGGTCGATCCCACGGCAAAGGGTGGTCTACACATCAATCAAGGTAAGAATAAAACGTAACCTTGAATTGATGTATGTTACGTTGTTATTGTATTAGATGCAGCTTCACCTCATTGGCGTACGTACGTTATTATTAATTTGTTGCCAGTTGCCACCACCAAATAATCACCATTACTCTACAATGAGGTGCCCTTGGATTGAATTATTATTTTTGCTGTGTTTAACACTTGGATGGGATATTCGGATGTTTAACACTTCCTATCCAAGAAAAGAAAAGTAGACTTGATCAGTTGTGAGGTTGGTCATTCCAGTTCCAACTGTTGGAGTGATCAATGGCAGTTTTCGTACACGTGTATCCATTACACAAGTGTCAGACCCCACCCATGCCTCCCTCATTACGATATAGATCAGGAACAAGGTTGTCCAGGCGGATGTGGTTAGTACTAGTAGTCATCGATCGTGGTTCCTTTAAATGTTTGGGCTACCTACCTACTCGCAAGGTACTAGGTGGGTAGCGTAGCTCCCTAGTTGTAATTACTAATCCACCTTGGATTCCACCGGAAAACAACCGTTTATACTTGTTGGAAGTTGAATGCAAGTTGAAACTTTCCTACTTTCTTTATCCGCGCTTGCTTGACCCACTTTCCGAGGTGAGGTGAGAGCCCAATTTCGTAGTCGTAGAGTAGAATCCAACCTGGAAAGTTATAATTATTAGCATACCACAGAGATGGAGATAGATACAACCGAACAGAAGGATATTTTCGTCATTTTATTAAGTTAGGCATCTCCCTTTTTTTTTCTTACTTCTTACAAAAGCAATGTTGGGTGTGAGTGTGACTTTTTTTTTTTTTTTTCTTTATTTATCAGCAAAATATAAGCAGGAAATCTTTTACAGACACACAGTTTTGATGACCAAAGCGAACCTAACCCCCATGTGACCGTATCCTATATCTTAACCATTTATTTTCAGACACGTGGCGCACGCTGCTTCTTCACCCCCACTTTCTGTCTCTAAAGTCTAGACTCTACTATCCCCCACACTCCTCTTTCTTTAGGTTTGTTTCAACTTTTAACCCTACACAGGTGGCCTTTAGCCTTAAAAGGTAGAAGGGACATTTCACACCCATGCCCATGCCAGCGTTTCAAGACACCTTTCCAGTTTTAAGGGGTGATGAATTGATGATTACCGAAAAAACAAAAAAATGTTTCCAGGATGACCAGGAAAGATGAAGCAAAGCAACATGGAGACTATTTTTAATGGGTCCTACCACAAACCCTAAAGAGTTGCATTTTTCGTTGTTTTTGTTTACTTGCATTTCACAAACTTTAGGCCGATTTTTATTTGTGGTACCCCAGAGAGAGAGAGAGAGAGTTCTAGAAAAGAATGCATTTCATTTTCATTTCATCACGAAGATCATACACAGATGCGCAATTCCACCATGTCATGACAAAAGTAAAATGGCGAAATGATGTGAAGGAAAAAGGAGACCCCCCACCCACTACAAACAATAATACAGCAGCGATGTTACACGACCCCAGACCCAAAAAAAAAAAAGGGAGAGAGAATAAATTAAAAGAAAAATAAGAAAGAAGATAATCCTTTAAACACACAGAGATAAACAAATAAAAACAAGAAATCGGCAGGACTCTATGAGAGGGTCGCATAGATTGGGTTTCTCTCTTAGTTGTTTGGGTTGCTGCGGAATGATCCCAATGCCTTGATAGCTGCCGCTCTCAGAATGTACTGGTGGTATGCAGCTGCAGCGAGTGCTCCAACGAAGGGACCAACCCAGAAGATCCACTGTTCATTAATATTACATTACCACCATCATCAATCATAGCCAGACTACAAATTAATTAAATGAACAAGAATCAGACTAGAAATCCTTTTAGATTTTAGTTAACAAAAAACTTACATGATCGTCCCAGATTTTCTCTCGGTTGAAAATGACGGCAGCTCCAAAGCTTCTGGCCGGGTTAATACCGGTACCGGTAATTGGGATGGTGGCCAAATGCACCATGAAAACAGCGAACCCGATTGGCAAGGGAGCCAACACCTGCAGCGCACAGGAAATAAATATATAAGGAAATTAAACATGAAAAACACCGGCACATCTCGGAAATCCTTGACTGATCACCCCCATAGTCCATAGGCCATAGCGGCATAGCGTATAATTAAGCATTAAAAGCTACGTACAGGGACATGGGAATCGCGTGCGTTTCTCTTGGGATCTGTGGCAGAGAAGACTGTGTAGACAAGCACGAAAGTACCAATAATCTCAGCTCCCAGGGCAGTTCCTTTTGAGTAGCCAGCGTTAACTGAGTTAGCACCACCTCCATTGGCGTTGTAGGCGTGCTTCATGAAGGCCTTCACCAACCCAACTCCGCAAATGGCTCCCAAACACTGAGCAACCATGTAGGCCACAGCACGGATCAGCGAAACCTTGCGCGCCAAGAAAAGTCCAAAGGTTACAGCCGGATTAATGTGACCACCTGTATTTCAGAAGAAGAAAAGCAAATTAAGAAACCACCACACAAGAAAGCTCAAGTGAACAGACAAAGAAAAGAAAAAAAAAAAAAAAATCTACGAGGTTGGGAAGGGTCGAACCAGAGATTCCGGCAGTGCAGTAAACAAGGATGAAAATCATGCCACCAAAAGCCCAAGCTATGCCCAGAAGACCAACTCCAGCGCAGGCGTCGCCCTGCTTTGAGTGACCGATAACAGTGGCCACGGTGACATATAGGAAGAGAAGGGTAGCGATGAACTCGGCGATTAAGGCTCTGTGGAAGGACCAGAGCTTGAGCTCACCAAAATCCAGCAGAGGAGCTGGTGGTGGGTCTGTATAATCCTTCCCATGATGGCCCTGTCCTTCCTCGCTTACTTCCTTGGTCATCTTTCAAGCCTTTCTCTCAAGACCTCTCTTGCGGAACTGCAGAACTCGCTTAATCTCTCTCTAACTCTTCAGTCGTGACTCGTGAGACTGGAGAGAGGGGGAAAGGAGAATTTATGGATAAGAGCTAGGGCTTTCTCCACAAATAAAATATTATGAAAAGACAAAAAATTGAAGTGAGAGAAAGAGTTCTTCAGAGAGAGTAGAAGTAAAGACGAGAGAGATCGAAAGAGAATGGTGGGCCCAAATACAGCGAAACCATGTGACTGGCTAATCATCTCCTTGTACCCCACAGCCCACAGCGCAGCCTGGCATCCAACAAAACAAAAAACCACTCTTCGTCCCTTCCCAACGGTTACATTACATAATACATAATACATACCGTCTCCGTATATTTTTTTCTCCTATACTCTTTTTCCGATACCGTTCTACAAATAATCGGTAACTGTGTGACAGCTGTCCAGAATTGGTGTAACACACCAGTTATCTCTCACTTGAGTCTAGTAACAAGTAAGTATAGGGGGAAAAGCGTGGGGAGATGGAGATCCCTAGTCAGTAGTCCCTACTCCTTGTCTCTCTTTCTATTCATAGTAGAATTCATTTAAAATACCGATAATGCCCTTGTTTTGATCCGATACGACAAATTCATGCCTCGCGTTCTGACGTCTGAGAATTGATTAGTGCTAATAAGTTTTTGTTAAGTAACATTAATGCCCAAATTAGTCTTCTGAAGCGACATTAATTGGACGAAAATGTCCCAGACATTCTTACAATTTATTTACCCATGTAATTCTTCTGCTTCTTTCTTGTTATTTTTTGTCGTCTTTCAGTCCACTTAGCAGCATTTGTTCGAGAAATTCCCGTACTCCTCCCCCCCGCTGGTTGGGTTTAATTTAATTTTATTTTCTTAATTTCTTAAGTAGGTCTTCGCATTTTAAATAGAATGAGCACGCAATCGGAGGACAGGATGAGACTTGCGAATGGTAAATTATTAAGGGATGAACAGGAATAAAAAGTGAAGCACACATTAGATACGATGTATGCGATTTACATGCTAACTAGACAGAATCTCAGAAATACGCTGGAGGCTGGAACAAGGTCCGTGATATAGAGAAAGATAATCTGACGGAACAGAGCGGATCAGCACTGAGCAGATGTTAGAATAGAGCACAACAGAAGTCCATCGACAGCAGGTGATGAATCATGAAACCTGCTGTGGTAGGACCCACCATCATTCCATGAGGATTGACGAACATGTTACCCCCCCACTCTAATCTTTTCTATCTTACCCGCTTGGACGGTATGCAAACACGTCCAGAGAAAAAGTGTTTATAAGAAATCAACTGTCATTCCAATCATTTGATCAGAAAATGGTTTTTTCGTAAGTACTTACTATTTTCTCTACTTGTGGGGTCCTTCATTCCGCTCCATACTAATCAGAAGGCCGATGATACACTGTATTTCTGTCGGTTGAAAATTCCATTAAACTTCCATCTTTCTCGTATAAAATCTGATCTGCCTACTGGTGAGGCTCGCAGCTAAACCAAAATCGATATTATCATCAGACGGTTGCAGCTTTTCGACTTTTATTGCAATGACTGTGATCATCTTTCGATTAGGAGAGATCAATAATCAATTTAAGAGGTGGGGGGACCCAATGGCTTAGATGCTGTTTGGATCTAGGGGTGCGCTGCAGGCTACAAGTATTAACATTCTCTTATTTGAGCTCGGTTAATTAACTGAAAGGTGGACCTGCTGAGAGTAGAGACAGCCCAATAGCTATTGGCTAATTAAAAGTCATGGAGAGAACACATGGTGCTAGTTGGCAAGGACCAGGGAGACATCTGTGGGGTGGGGGCCCATATAGACTCCTTCATCGTTATCTGAAACCTTTTATTTTATAATAAAATAAAAAAAAAAAAAGATGGGGTTGGTTAAGATAGTAAGATGCTTCGTAGTGTGTCCAAGCTGTACATGTTATCCTTTATCTGCACATTTTTCATATAACCACCTAAGCTGGGCCTCATCTTTCCCCCAAAAAAAACAAAAAAAGAAAAGAAATGAAAAAAAGAAAAGCGTTGGCCGTTACAAATAGGGACGCAGCAGGTGGGTCAAACCGTATTTGAATACGGGCAGGCACCTTAAATACTGTGGATGCTCTGATACATCCGTACATCATATATTCATATACGTGGGTCCGGTATCTAACCCGAGACGAATCACTACTGAGTACTCAACGATGTATCATATCTACGGTGCTCCAAGCACCTATTCAAATCAGGGGCACACACATAAATCTTTATGGCTTACATTCCTGGTCGTTCAATCTTGAGCACAGCCAACAGCAAGCCAAGTCACACAAAGCTATGATGATGAAAATAATGAAATAGGAGGCCGGACCTTTTCCCCTCTCTACGAGGAGATGTGGTCCTGCGTCTGAATCGTGTAAAATTTAAATTGGTTTCACTTCCACGGTTCTACCATTTGTTTTTTTACTTGTTTAGCTGCATTTTATCATTGCCCTGTTTTTTTAGCTTAAATTTTATTTTTGTCACTTTCGAGCTGCGTGTCGCATCTTGGACAAACGGCTAGATGTTTCCAGAGTGTTCTTTCTAACCGTTGCGAGGAAGCAAGGGAGAGAGAGAGCGGCGTTTTGCGGCTTTATATTTTGCAACGGTCACATTCTCTCTCTCTAAATATATGCTTTGGTTTGGCTTGACGAGGACTCGAGGAAAACTGAGATGGCATGGGAGATGGCACCACCTAGCGCACGTTAAATGCTGGGGCCCTTGAAAGCAACCTGGCATTTCCGAGGAGATTCCGACGGATAATGATGATGTCTTTAATAAGATATGCTCCCGTTTTAGCTTATTAATGAAAAGGATTTCACGGCTCCATTGACAAAAGTGCCCCCCACCCTCTACCTATGGTTCCAGTGTCTTCTGCGCTTTTTTTTTTCTGAATTTCTTTCATCCATTCTTAGGGAGTCGCGACTAGAGAATCAGCTGGTTCCAGTATAAGATAATATCACCCAAAAAAACCGGTTCTTATCGTTCTATTCATTCTTTTATTTTACTTTGATTTTGTTTAGTGTATAATACATATCAAAATCTATATATATGGTCTATATCAGCATGCCTCTCCTTGTTCTGTTATTCTTATCCTATAATTTCTTTGATTTTTTTCTCTCTTCTTCCCACCATTTTCGTCAAGTCATATCACTATTATCGCACCAATTACTCAAAAATATTCTTACAATCTCTCTTCTAAAATATTTTTTCTAAGCCATTAGGAACATATCATGTTTCCCCACTCCCCAGTCAATTCCTAAAATCTCTCTTCCCAATCTATGTCCACTCTCTTTCATTTAAAATATTCATATCAATTAATAAATAATTAAATACTGTTAATATTTAATCCAACCCATATCCATTGAGTATTAAATATTGGTTTTATAAAAAGTTAATAAATACGGTTTATAAATTACCAAAATTAATAAATATTGTTATTAATTAACTAATCATGACTTTTTAAAGTATTTTGGGTAAATATTGTTATATTCATGTAATTAACAACATTTTAAAGAAATTGAAAACTCTTTAACTAATTCCTATAAAATTGAGAATTATATTTAACAATTATCAAAAAGTATAAAATTTTAGTTATTGTTATTATTATGGTTAATAACCAAATGCAGATGAGGGAATAAAATATTATAATACTGGAAAATGAAATTATTAATTAATTTATATTGAAAAATAAAAGATAAATTAGTGTAATTTTGTTAATAAAGTACCTAATAAAAATAAATATTTAATAACAATTTAAAATAATTTTCAACAAACCACCATAATTACACAATTGTAATAAATTTTTCAAAATTTTTCAGAAAATAACATTGTGGAAATTAAAAGATATAAATTTTTTTAATGTTTATTTAAAATGTATTAAATAATTAATAAAAATTATTGGACTATTTTAGAAATTTTAGGAAAATTTATTACATTTGATAAATTTTGGAAAACTATTAAAAAATTATGTAATTTTCATTGTAAATTATTGCAAATTAAAGATAAAAGAGTATGGGAAAGGGAAAGTGTATTTTGAACCAATAATTACACAAATTATTAAGATAAATTAGTATAATATTGGAAAAAGGAAATTATTGATTAGTTTATATTGGAAAATATAAGATAAATTAGTGTAATTTTGTAAGTAAACCATTTAAAAATAACTCAAATTATTTAATAACAATTTAAAGATAAATTTAAATTAATTTTCAAAGTTACACAAATGTAATAATTTTTTAAAAGTTTTCATAAAATTACATTTTTGAAAATTATTGACAATTTAATGCACTTTTAGAAATTTACCATGTAGTTGTTACTCAATATATCCTTCTAACCATTTTTTGTCATCAAATTGAATATTGGGTTGATAGGGAGTGGGCACTTTGCCTTCAACCCGCCCAACATTGGGGATAGGGCAAGGAAATTCAAGTATTCTCCATCATTGTTGAGGAGTGGGCTCCGAGCCTTGAACTCACCCAGCATTGAGTAGGGAAATTTGAGGATTCCCTGTCCCTAACAGGGAATGGTTGTCTATCTTTGAACCCGCTTGACGCTAGGGATGAAGTGAGGAAATTTGAGGATTCCCCGTCCCTAATGGGGAGAGGATGGCTTGCCTTGAACCCGCTTGACATTGGGGACAGGGCAGGGATGGGGTAGAATGTCTTGACTACAGGGCAGGGATAGGGATGGAGTTTCCTGCGCTGAACCCGCCCCATTGCCATTCATATATAATTGTTAATTATTTGTTTTATTAATGAAAATATTAGCTTTTGTAATTATTTTTATTTATGTAAAGTCAATCAAAATTTTATTTAAAAATAATGAAAATTAGTATAAACGATTAATAAAAAAAATTATTAAAAAAATATTTATTTATATTAAATTAACAATAATTATTTTCTGTAAATCAACATTAAATGAAAAATATAATTTTTAAATTTTTAAATATTAACAATAACTTTAAATACTTTTAGTTAATTAACATCAAATTCTAATTATTAATAGTAAATAAAATTATTCAGCCTTTCATACTTTTCCG